CTGTCTTAACAACTGTCATTTTTCCCCTCCCTCTGCCTCTCCTATTAGGTCCAGCAATTCTACTCATCTTTTCACCTTGGTATCAAATTACCTTCGGCCTGGTGATAGGGCTCCTTTTTGCAGTGGATACGGGGCTGTATTTTTCTGTGCAGAGAGACCTTCAAAGCTAACAGGAGACTGGAGAAGCTGCAAAGTCAGATGAAGCCAGGGCCCTCAGGACAAATGACCCCTCATCTCTCGGTGTAACAGCAGTTGCAGTGGCATCTCTTCAGGACATAGCTTTCCTCTTACCCTAGCCCAACCTTGATGGCAACCTGGGCTAAGGAGCCTCCAACTACCCTTTAGCCCCAGGGAAAGAAAGGGCCTGTGATCTCCAGAGCTAAATCCTAACAGGCCCTTCCGTCACTGATTTCCTGAAGGCCAAGGCACAGCCACAGCCCACTCAGCTCTACAAGGACTCACAGCAAATGTGTTTTCACAGATTCTTGACAGAGGCTCTTCAAATACATGAAACCACAGTAAATCTTGCTTCTACTTTCAAAATAAATCAAGCAATCTGATCACTTCTCAGTACACTACTATAGCACCTTGGGCCAAGCCACTATCACTCCTCACTTGGGTTACTGCAACAGCCTCCTGACTGGTCTCCCTGTACTCACCCATGCTACCCCGCAGTCTATTCTCACCACAATAGCCAAAACTATCTTTTAAAAATGTGTGTTGTATCTGTCACTTCTCTGCTCAAAGCTATGCAATAGCTTCTTCCTTGTACTTAGAGTAAGAGCTAAAACCTTTGCAGTGTTCTACAAGGCACTATATGCTCTTGTTCCTCAGTGCCTCTGACCTCATCTATTGCTCTCCTTTGCTTTCTTGAACACTTTATACTTCTATTCCAGGTATGTTATTTAGTGTTTCTGAAATACTGTTACAGACGTCTACAGCATGCTTCATCGTGGTCTTCACTTGAATACCACCTTATCAGTGAGGTCTCATTGATCATTCAATACAACCCCAATCCTCCATTATCTCCTAATCCCTTTCCTGCTTTATTTTTCCCCATGATACTTATCACCAACTGAAGTACCATATGTTCATTTGTTTAACTGCTTATTTATTTTATTGCTGTACTTTTTCCCAATTGTACTTACCACTAACTGACTACCCACTCTGCCATCAGAATATGAGCTCCATGAGAGCAAGGTCTTTGTTTTGTTTACTACCATATACCTAGAGTCAAGGTCAGTATCTGGCATATAATAAAGCACTCAATACATATTTCTGGAATGAGTAAATTCTTTAGCATTTGAAGTCAGGGACTTTTTTAAGGTACATCTACCCCATCTTTCCAGAAGCAGAAGTCCAGTTTAATACTATTGAACACTCTGTTAGATACGACCTAAAATACACCACTAGCACATGCATTTCAGCTTTGAACATATTTGCCTAAACACTTTAATATTATTTACTCTCACCCATCACATCTTTGAAAGTAGTATATCAGTTGAACCTAACTTCCCTTTAATTGAATTAATTTTGTAAGCCTATAGAGTAGCACTGTGAAAAGTACACTGAAAATAGAGCCAAACCACCTAAATTTGTGTTTCATTTCTACCAGTTGCTAGCTAGTTGGTCTTGAAGAATTCATTTAGCTACCCTATGAGTTAGACTCTTCTTTCTGTGAAATGGTAATATCTTTATCTCCTTCCCCAGGGATATCTTGTGTCATTCAAGTGTAACAACATATATGGAAACATAATGTCTTTGGAATATAAAAGGTTTTTAATAAATGTCTACAGAATCTGATGGCTTCAGAGCACACTATCTAGCTGGCACTTTCCCCTTAAAAAGATTGCTTTTACCATAGTAACCTTAAAGAAAGTTAAGAAGATCTAATTTGGAGTGGGGATGAACTAGAAGGTAGAACTGAGTGAATTACAGTTTCTGTGGCTAGTTGCATCAGAAAAAGAATGGAGATAAGCTCACGTGGCCAGCTTTAGCCACCATGTTAAACTCAGATGCTATAAAAATGCAACCTCGGTGGCATAAAACATCAAAGGTTTATTTCTCACTCAAGTTCTCCTGTATATCTGGAAGACTCCCCAAGGAAGCTGTTTCTCATGGGATGGCTCAGGTTTCTACCTCCATTTCAACACCAGCTACCACATATTGCCAAGGAAGGCAAAGGGAACAGTAGCAATTATGACAGTAATTAAATGGCCTCTCCCCAGAAGTAATACATCATGCATACTTAAATTTCACTGATCAAAACAAGTCATATGACCTGATCTCAAGAGGCATGAATTGCTAGCAGGAGGAGAATCATATACATTGGTGAGAATCATCAATGTCTATCACACTAACATTCCTTACTCTACCATTGTGAGGGATAAAAATGAATAAACTATCATATAATGTATGCAACAGCCTCCTGACTGGTCTCCCTGTACTCACCCATGCTACCCCATACATTATATGATAGACATAGCAGCTCACTCCTCTTTTTCTTATTAACATAAGCAGGATTTATTCAGGTATAGAGCAGGTACATAGTTTAGGGGAGATAGGAATCCTCTTTTGCTCCTAGATAAAATCAGAGACTTTTAAAGCTAGAAAGTCTTAGAAATGATAAGTCCAATCTCCTCATTTTAAAATTGAGAAAGTTGAGGCCCAGATGGTTCAAATGACTTGTTCAAGGATGTACAGGTAGTTGGTATCACTTTTAAAGACACTCAGACTAAATTACTAAACATTAGTGGATATGTTTAGGTGTATGTACAAAGTTTGCATTGCATAATAAACTTTCTCCTTGAACTTCTCTGAATTAAAAAATAAAGAAGTGAATGATAATGGAAGCATGCTTTGTGATGCTGTGTCTAAGTACAGAGGTGATTGCTTTATTGCTGTACCTGGAACTCTGAAGGGTAGATGTGCAGGTGGGGTTTTGAGGCTGCTGAGGGCTGGGAGAGAAGGTTGGAGCTTGTACAAGGTTGGAGTCCCTGAACAGTCCAGGGCACAGACCCCAGGACAGGCCACCTCTTCCTTTCTTTCGTGAGGCCCCCTCTCTTGTAGGCCCTTGCCTAAAATGTCCCAACCCTGACACGCAGGCCTGGCCAGCCTAGACTCAGAGAGTGAATGAATTTAAAGCTGACAGCTTCTCTCCCCTCCTGGAGTTATGAAATAGTTTCTTTCTTTTTGAGGATGGTTTGATTTTACACTGCAGAAGTTATTTACTGCACACTTCTTCAAATATACACTTTTTTCCTGGACTGATCACCTTCCCATCATAGCTGAGCTCACTAGCGGCAAACTTTGCCAGCTCTTTCTTCTTTCTTATCAATACACTGGGAAAAGGTGAGCCCAGAAACCCAGTCCAGAAATGGGACTAACTCCATCCTAACTCCCTCCTCCCTCTTCAAAGACTCTGCAGCTTTCCAAAGGGATCTAAGCCATCTGAGGAGACTAGAGCCACTTATAGAGCAAGGGTTTTTAGTTTCTCTTTTTAAAAATTAGTAGATTCCTTTGAATCAGGTAAATAATGATATATTACATGAAAGTTGAAGCTACCAGAGTTTAACATTAGAATGTGTCATGTTTCCATAGGGTGCTATCTGCTGTCCTCTTAGTATAGTGGTGAGTAGCCCTGCCTGTCATGTGGGAGACCAGGGTTCCATTCCCCTATGGGGAGGTTACAGAAGACTTTTGCTTCTCTTTCTTCCAGTTCCACCCTCACATCTCTGAAAAGTCTCCTCCTTTTGGCTTTTTAGAAGTCCATGGCAAATAGAAACACCAGAAAACTCAAATGGGATGTTCTGGATTAAAGAAAGTGAGATAAGGCAATTAGCAAGGCCATAAAACTGATGGGAACCAATGTGGCTTTACTGATCACTGAACTCATCTTGCCCTCTGGCCTCAGGGCATGGGATGCACTGCAGTCTCTAAGGAATTTACTTCCCACAGGAGTCCTGGGCTCTGGCTGGGAACCCATCCAGACCTAAGAGAAAAACGCACACTGCCTTTCCAACTGGCCCCTGGGGACGATGCTGCTCAGAAACACGGGTCCAGAGAGAAGACTTGATAACAGGAGGGACATTGTCACCACAGTTCATCTGCATTCTCCCTCTTGTGCTTGGTTCTCCCCAGGGCTGGGTGGCGAGGTGACGCCTGGGTCTCCAAGCCTCAGCTCCAGGTTCCGACTCCTCTGAGGAATGCGACTTGGTAAAGGAGGGAAAACCAAAGAACCCAGTCTTCAACTAACTGGTTTCGTTTATTCCAGTGTCACAAATTCGAGACTACAAAAAGTCTTTAAGTTAAGATAATAGCCTGAAAGAAAACACACAACTGCATTGGCCGGGAATCGAACCCGGGCCTCCCGCGTGGCAGGCGAGAATTCTACCACTGAACCACCAATGCTCCGCCTACAGAAAAGACCTACAGCACCATCTCTTAAAGTCATCTCTGGCTGTAGCTCCATTCCATAATAAGAATCAGATTGGCCTCAGAGTCACAATTTCGAAGATATTGCCTCTGTTTCAAGACCCCTCCCCACCAAAAGTAAGACTTAAGAAGGAAAACAAAAATTATTTAAACCGTTGGCTTTGAGGGCCAAGCCTCTAATTCGCATGGTGACATGCTTTCGGCTTTTCTCGAGCCGCTGGACTCAAACCAGCTTTCTTCAACTAACGAGGGGATGAACTGTTTTCTTGGGAAGTTACTGCCTTACCTGGCTTCTGCCACAACCGATCGCCCTTAGAACAAGCCGGGAGAAGCTGGAGATTTCTCTGCAGCTCTGAATCAGACGGTGCAGATGGGGGGGCCGCCCTGCCCTGTACCGCCGAATCTACCGGAACCTTCTCCCTGAGTCAACGCGGAGCCTCCTGGGCTGAGTCAGCCGGCGCACCCAGGCCGGCAGGCTCTGGGCTCGCCGAGAGGGCGCTGGAAGGTTCGCGGCGGCGGGGGCGGGAAGAGGCGGGTCTCCGGAAACTGGATAAAAAGCTCGTGGAAGCGGAGCCAAGCAGATCCAAGCTGGGCAAGCAGAAGAGGCACCGCTGAGCGCACCTCTACGGCTGAGCTGCACCAAGTCCCTGAGGCTCCTGCATCCGACCCCGTATTGCACTCGTCCGCTGGAGCGGGAGAAGCCACAGCCATGTCTGCCGCAAAGGAAGTGGCCATAGGCATTGACCTGGGCACCACGTATTCTTGCGTTGGCGTGTTTCAGCACGGCCGGGTGGAGATCCTAGCCAATGACCAGGGCAACCGCACCACCCCCAGCTACGTGGCCTTCACCGACACCGAGCGGCTGGTGGGCGATGCAGCCAAGAGCCAGGTGGCCCTGAACCCGCACAACACCGTGTTCGACGCCAAGAGGCTGATTGGGCGCAAGTTCACAGACCCCACTGTACAGTCGGACATGAAGCACTGGCCCTTCCAGGTGGTGAGCGAGGTCGGCAAGCCCAAGGTGCGCGTATCCTACCACGGGGAGGACAAGACGTTCTACCCTGAGGAGATCTCCTCCATGGTGCTGAGCAAGATGAAGGAGACGGCGGAGGCGTACCTGGGCCAGCCGGTGAAGCATGCTGTAATCACCGTGCCTGCTTACTTCAACGACTCCCAGCGTCAGGCCACCAAGGACGCGGGTGCCATCGCGGGACTCAACGTGCTGAGGATCATCAATGAGCCCACGGCAGCCGCCATCGCCTATGGCCTGGACCGGCTGGGCGCCGGAGAGCACAACGTGCTCATTTTCGACCTGGGTGGGGGCACCTTCGACGTGTCAGTCCTTACTATCGACGCTGGTGTTTTTGAGGTGAAGGCCACGGCTGGAGACACTCACTTGGGTGGAGAGGATTTCGACAACCGGCTGGTGAACCACTTCATGGGTGAGTTCCGGCGGAAGCACGGGAAGGACTTGAGCGGGAATAAGCGGGCCCTGCGCAGGCTCCGCACAGCCTGTGAGCGCGCCAAACGCACCCTGTCCTCCAGTACCCAGGCCACTCTGGAGATCGATTCCCTATTTGAGGGTGTAGATTTCTACACTTCCATCACTCGAGCTCGCTTTGAAGAACTGTGCTCAGACCTCTTCCGCAGCACCCTGGAGCCGGTGGAGAAGGCCTTGAGGGATGCCAAGCTGGACAAGGCCCAGATCCATGACATTGTCCTAGTGGGTGGCTCTACCCGCATCCCCAAGGTACAGAAGCTTCTGCAGGACTTCTTCAATGGCAGGGAGCTGAACAAGAGCATCAACCCAGATGAGGCTGTGGCCTATGGAGCTGCTGTGCAGGCAGCAGTGTTGATGGGGGACAAGTGTGAGAAGGTGCAGGATCTCCTGCTGTTGGATGTGGCTCCCCTGTCCCTGGGGCTGGAGACAGCTGGTGGGGTGATGACTACACTGATCCAGAGGAATGCCACCATACCTACCAAGCAGACCCAGACTTTCACCACCTATTCAGACAACCAGTCTGGGGTCCTGATCCAGGTGTACGAGGGTGAGAGGGCCATGACCAGGGACAACAACCTGCTGGGGCGCTTTGAGCTCAGTGGCATCCCTCCTGCTCCACGTGGAGTCCCCCAGATCGAGGTGACCTTTGACATTGATGCCAATGGCATCCTGAGTGTGACAGCCACTGACAGGAGCACAGGCAAAGCTAACAAGATCACCATCACCAATGACAAGGGTCGACTGAGCAAGGAGGAGGTGGAGAGGATGGTTCATGAGGCTGAGCAGTACAAGGCTGAGGATGAGGCCCAGAGGGACAAGGTGGCTGCCAAAAACTCCCTGGAGGCCTATGTCTTCCATGTGAAGGGCTCCTTGCAAGAGGAAAGCCTTAGAGACAAGATTCCTGAAGATGACAGGCGCAAAGTACAAGACAAGTGTCAGGAAGTCCTTGCTTGGTTGGAGCACAACCAGTTGGCAGAGAAAGAGGAGTATGAGCATCAGAAGAGGGAGCTGGAGCAGATATGTCGCCCCATCTTCTCCAGGCTCTATGGGGGGCCTGGTGTCCCTGGGAGTAGCAGTTGTGGAGCTCAAGCCCGACGGGGAGCCCCCAGTACTGGCCCGGTTATTGAGGAGGTTGATTAAATGACAAGAGTTGGGCTTGTGGACTTTCTAGACTGTCTACTATGATCCTGCCTATACCTTCAGGGGTGGGAGTGGAGGGGAATCTTACCCCTAAACAGGGAGCTTTTTGTTAGTATGTTTTAATAAAGGTGGTGTTTGTCATTTGACTTTTTAAAAAATCTTCTCCCACTTCAAACAAGCAGAAGTAATCACTTTGAACATTTGTGTGGCCCTTCAACATTGCTTTTACCTATATTTTATGCATTTTGTTACTTGTATGTATGGATTTAGTTGTGTGAAATAATAGAGCTAAATAAACTTTTAAAACTACTTCTTTGTTTTCATTCTATTCAATTAAATAGATGAAGGGCAAGGCTTTCAGAAGCAGAAAATGTTGGGGTGGGTGCTGAAAAAGATAGGAAGAAAATTCACAAGGCTGTGTGCAAGGTTTCTATAGGCGAAAACAGGATAAGAGGAAGAGTTTGAGGCAGGCACATTGAGACAGTATTGAAGTATGAGGTCAGGTATGAGAGAATTGTGACTTACTGTGTTGAAAGAGGGAAAGAGGTAGAGTTGGAAAAGCAGAGAATGGAGAGAAACTTAAGTCCTAGCAAGACCTTAAAATAAAAATTCTGTATTGGGAGCCTAGTTTAATTTGTCAGTCTGTGTGTCCTAATACACTGACAAAGAGTTTATATGCTAATTATCTCTCTCTAATAATGTGACCTTATTCATTGTTCTTAGAGAACAGACTCTAAGTCCTGGACTCGGAAAGAGTATATGTTAGACTAAGAGGGTAAGTCAGTGGTATAAAGTTATTATTGTTCTTATCTATGTGAGAGAAATAGCATTGTTCCATCTGGTTTCTGCTGACAGGCTCCAGGATGATGATGACGATGATGATGGCGATGGCAACTGTGTAACAAAATGGCTCTATTGGAACCAGACTGCTTAGGTTTTCAGCTCTGTTACCTTATCTACTGTGTAAGTTACTCTCCAAGAATCAGTTTCACCTTCTATATAATGGGGATGATGATGAAATAGTATCTCAAAAATTGTTATGAGGGTACAACTAATTAAATATGTAAGAAGTGAAGAAGAATGTTGGGCATATAGTGTGTGACCAACAATATTAGCTACCACTAATTATTATTAATTGATTGTCAACTATGTACCAGATACTTGATGTATACAATCAAATTTAAAACTTGCAGCAACATCATAGGATATTATCTCTTTTTGGAGATGAGGATTCTGAGGTTAAAAGAAGTTAAACAATTACTCAAGGCCCATAGCTATTAAATCAGGGAAGTGGGTGGTGGCGAGAGTTGGAAATAAGAACCCTGTTCTGTCTGACTCTAAAGCCTGTGCACTGTCACCTCACAAACAGGCTATAACTCCACTTATTACTAGACCCCTAGATGTTATGAGATTGGACATACTATTCTTTTAGAACGCAGTTGGATGCTGAGCCCTGAGGGAAAAAAGTATATTTTATTGTATATTTACATTATTCATTAAGTGAATATGTGTTTTTTATAGTAAGAGATTGAACTTGGGAAATGTCCTCAGGGGCAATTTCACTGCCAGTTAAATGATCTATAAGAGCAAGGATAAATTTGTGTAAATTAGTTCCCAATCAACCTAATCCACACTGTATCTCTCCTATTTGCAAAGGGAGATTTTTTTTTTCTCAGAAATGGAAGTGGATTTGGCTAGAGCAATGCTACATAATATTTAGCTAAAGGTGAGGAGGAGGTTTCAGTATCAACCCACTTGTCCCTTGGTTGTCATTTCACATTTTAAACTGCTTTTTTCTACACCTGGCCTAGGTCCTATGCAACCTGACTTCAAATGGAAGGAACCTGCAAAAAAGTGATGATGTCACATACACATTCTGTGTTACACTTTCCCTTTCAGAATTTCCTTTCAACTTCTAACATTGACCACCCCAACCTTTTTGTAACTTCTCAAGAGGAATGATGGTACTTACATGGTTTAGATAGTTTCCTAGCATTTCAACAGTCTCTATCTCTCTTTAAAACATACACAGGGTATAAGGAGGAGAATTTCATTGTGTTTAGTTGTGAAAACACTTCAGATCCTCTCATTTGGGTGATATGTATTTTTCTACAGAGGAATTTAAGTGAACTAACCACTTCATCTACTTTTAAATGATTGTTGTTGATGGTTTAAATTCTTTGGGGACTGTTTCCTGTATAATAGGCATCTAAATATCATTATGTGGTATATAGTCTTAGTTTGATTATTGTAATTACAACTATATGTGATTACAATAAAAAATAGTAGAACAAATTAAATATTTGTTCCCCAAAATATCAGAACAAATGGAATCAAAATACATGCCCATTATTAAAAAAATCAAATTTTGCTACAACCCTTCTATGAATAAACAGCAATTTCTTGCCCCACTCTCAATTCCTACTCCAACCACTTTCAAGTTTCTTTTTAAGGCCTTTAAATTTTGCAATAATTTTCAATTGACAGAAGAGTTGCAAAGATATTACAGAAAGTTACTGTACATCCTTCACCCAGCTTCTCCTAATGTTTAGGTCTTACATAACCACATTACATTTATTAAACCTAAGAAATTGATATTGGTACAATTAATTAAACTGTAGACTCTATTCAGATTTCATATTTTTCCACTAATGTTCTTTTACTATTTCAGAAGCCAATCCAGGATAACATGTTGCAATTTGTTATCATGTCTTCCTTACAATCTAGGACAGCTTCTTAACCTTCCCATGTTTTTCAAGACCTTGACATTTTGAAGAACTGATCGGGTATTTGGTAGATTGTCCTTCAGTCTGGGTTTGTCTAACTTTTTTTCATGATTACAGTGAGGTTTGGGGGAAGAATACCATAGGGTGAAGTGCCCATCTTATTGCATTATATCAGGAGGTATATGATATCAATGTGACTAATCACTGGTGTGTTCACCTTGATCACATGGTTACGGTTCAGCTTTGTTATCTTTTCACATGTTTCTTTTATGGATGCACTATCATTGTCTTTAGTTTAGACACAGTATTTATTTATTATTTATTTTGGGGGGCTGAGTTGTTAACTACTTAAGTATTTATTTTTAAAAAATTTATTGAAGTATAGTCGGCTTACAATGTTGTGTTAATTTCTGGTGATTCAGTTATATATATATTCCTTTTCATATTCTTTTTCATTATAGGATATTACAAGTTTTTGAATGTAGTTCCCTGTGCTATACAATAGGACCTTGTTGTTTATCTATTTTATGTATAGTAGTATCTGCAAATCTCAGACTTTCACTTTACCCCTCCTTCCCCTGCCCCTTTCCCCTGATAATCATAAATTTGTTTTTTACAGACACAGTATTTAACTTTTTATTCTCTGTTCTAAGCATAGTGTCTTGAGTGTTGTAAGTGCTCAAATGATACAGAGTAAGAGGAAGCAAGGGAAAGAATATTCCAAATTAAAGATCAACCTGTGTAAAAGCATCTAAATTAGATAGACCAGTGCTTCTCAAACTTTAATATGGGTATGAATCATCTGGGAATCTTATAAAATGTGGATTCAAGTAGGTCTGAGGTGTGGCCTGAGATACGTATTTCCAATAAGCTCCTAGATCATCTGACTTAATCTTCGCAGCAATTCTATATCCATTTTACTATAAGCAAACTAAGGCTCAGGAAAGTCAAATGCAGTTTCCAAGGTCATAGTCTAGTAAATAACAAAGAATGTAGTTTGGTAAACTTTCCCTAACTAACCTAAAGATCCTTCCATCCTCACGCTTATGGACCTCACACGTTCACCCTCTTTGGATTAATAGTCTCTCCCTCTTCCCAAAAGGACAGCAAAATTTTTGTCATAGCTAGCTCCTCCCAAATTAGAAAGTGCGATCTTTATTTGCGATCTTATTGGCAATCTTTAAGAAAATGTTCTTGAAACAACCAACTTCATGAGTTTATCTTTCCTGTCTATTACTTTCCTCCCATTTTGGTGTGTTAATTTCTTTTCCCGGTTTTTGGTGACACAGCAAATCTATTGAATTAGAACTGGTGGTGGGAGTGGGTCCGGCAAGACGAAGGGGAATCTGAGGCTCACCAAAAGTTTGACACTACTGCCTAAGCATGAAAAGACTCGGGCCAATTATTGCAAATTAAGGAATCTGGGCTGAAGACTTTTCCTTTTTCGGTCAGATGAGTCAGAAGAGTCTTTTGTATCTACCTACTGGGCTCAACACATTATCCAATAAGGGAATGGACAAATAGGCACTAACCAACTGTCATGTAAAGGAAAGAAAAAAATTTTCGTAGTTAGGGATAGATCTAAATGGATTCAGTTTCGTATTCAAAGCGAAGCACAATGTTCACATGTAAATATGCGGCATAAAAAGCTTTCAATCAATATATCCATTTCTAGAAAGAGACGGAAGTGAAAGACCATCTTATCAGGAGTGGAATTCGGACCGACCCCTCCTAGGGAGGCTGCAACCCGAACGCAGCGCTTTAGGCGCCTCAGTCATCTTGACATACTGTAGCTGGGCTTTCTTATTTTCCTTTAATATTATCGTATACTGCTATATCGACGTCAATATTTATCAATACTGTTTATTTTAAGTAAAACTAGACCTCTCCCTGGACTTCTTCATGAAACAGGGAAAATGAAACTGTCTCCGACTCCTATTTCCTACTTCCTCACCCTCCTAAACTGTAAAAATCCATTATCCGCTGTGCAATTTCAAGCGCTCCTCCCGCTCGTTCTCTAGCGGGGCCGAGCCACGCCAGGGTGGACACCCCGCCGCAGGTCCTTCGGCTCTCTGCCCCAAATTGCCGTTAAACCGAATCCAACATCCGATGGATCCAGTGCTGTGTAGGGCGCACCAAGCGGCAGAACTGGGAGCGTGGAAGGTAGAAGGAGGCGGGGGAAGATGTCCGGGCAGAGGGAGGCTTTGGCTTTCCCGCCGGGTTCTGCGCTGTTCTCATCCTCCGTCTCTCCGTGCAGGGTGGTCTCTGCATTCCAAACCCCGTGTCATTGATTGGAAGAGCTGATTGAAAGTAATAAAGACTAGGTTCGCCCTCACCAAGAGAAGGCTCTGTGTACCTCTTATGTAACGTTCTGCGAGTATCGCGCCACCGAGGCGTTGGTGGTATAGTGGTGAGCATAGCTGCCTTCCAAGCAGTTGACCCGGGTTCGATTCCCGGCCAACGCAGGCTCGTTTTCCTGCGCCGCGCCCCGCAGGTCTCCGAAATTAAGGCTAGAAATTGTTTCAGCGGTGAGTTTTTAAAGCTTGAGCGAAACCAGGAACTGCAGCCATTCCTCACTTTCTCTTCTTTCCTCCTGTATGCTCTCAGGGTCTCATTCTCTTCTCGTCTACGTTGTGGAGGGGTTAGATTCCTAAGGTTTTCTTTCCTCTCTTCGCTGACTCTCTGCTTTCCTTTTAAATTTTCCAACTCTTGAGAAGTCTTTGGGATCCGGATTCTGCTGTGTCTTGTCTGAAACTCAGCCTCGGAAGGGGGGCCATGGTTTTATATCTGCGAGGTTCATACGGTAGCTGCGAGCTATTGGGCACTTGAAATTGAGAAGTGAGTCTGAGGAACTGCATTTTTAAGTCTATTTAACTGAAATTAATGCATTCATTAGTTAATTCATTAACTGAAATTAATTACTTTATTGAAATAAATCAATGGAAAAATTTAAACAGATACTCAACCCATCTATTGGAGAACGTTTAAGTACGTTAGGAACAACTTGGGTGTATGAATCCACTTTTTCAATTGTAAATATCATGAAATCTAAATACTAATCAGGTTTTTCCGAAAAAAGTTTAATGTCCAGGTTGAAGTGTGCTGTCTGTAAGTGTGAAATACCAGTCTGAATACTAATTACCAGAAAAAAAAAAAAGGAAAGAAAAGAAAAAACCTTGATTAACATTTTTATATTGCTTACATATTGAAATAATATTTTGCAATATTGGCTTTAGTCAGATATATTATTAAAATTATTACCTGTTTCTTCTTTTTTAATACGGCCGCTACAAATTTAAAATTACTTGTAGGGGTCCCATTATGTTTCAGTTGCTAGGTCGAGTAAAAGTGCAACATAACAATCAGCAACTTTTTGAGGCAGTTCAGAAATAATTTCCTATACAGCTGTTTTAAATCGTATGTTCTAGCTTTCCTCGTTAGTATAGTGGTGAGTATCCCCGCCTGTCACGCGGGAGACCGGGGTTCGATTCCCCGACGGGGAGGCAGCAAGAGCACTTTTTTGGTAGCTGGCGCTGAAACAAAAATTAACCTTAAATTTAGATTCTAAGAGTATGTCGCTCGCTTGCGAATTTCGTGGATGGTAACTAAGAGTACTAGTGCGTGAGGTTATTTTGACCCTGGTTCTTCGTTAAATGCGTTGGATAATTAATCCTGCAAGCAAGTTTCCACCTGATTTGCCACTTAGTGTATCTTCTCCCAACCCTGTAATTTCCTACTGCCCACTGGAAGAACGTCCGAGGATCCAGGCTCTGCCCTAAGCCCTGCTGTACTCAGATTCCCACCTTTTCTTGTCATCTCCCTCATCCGTGATTCACTAGACGCTCCTTCTTTCTTCCTCCCGTGTATATTGCTATTCAGTAGGGGCCAGCCTCAGTTTTCAAGAATGTTTTTAAAATTTTCAAATACATGAAGTTTTTTAAAGTTATTTTTAAAAATTGCTTTCTGAGTTAAATTTCATTCAGTTCAAAGAGACATATACAATAGATTCCATGAATAAGCTAAGACTTCTTTTATGGCTTCATATAAAGTCAATTTTCATATATGTTCCATGTGCATTGAGAAGAATGTTTAAGTGACAATTATTGGTTGCACAGTTCTATATATATCTATTAAATTAAGCTTGTTAACTGTGTTTCTATGCTTATTTTTTTTCTCTGCTTGACTTATCAAATGCTGAGAGAAGTATGTTGAATTCTCTCCCACTGTGGTGATGGATTTGTCAATTTTCCTTTTGGTCTAATAATTCTTGTTTTTATACTTTAATGCTTTTTAATAAGTACATACGTGTTTAGAGCTATTATATGTTCAGCATGAGTTTAATCTTTTATTATTATGTGGTAACCGTTTTCATCCCTAGTGATGCATTATTTCTTAAACTTTATTTTGTATGATATTATATAGCTATATACCAACTTTCTTTTCATTAGAATACTCCTTATATATCTTTTCCACTTCTTTTACATTCAGTCTTTCTGTTTGTGTTTTAATGTCTTTCTTCTAAACAAAATAAAATGTATTTTAAAAATCCACTTTTGTCTTTAACTGGCAATTTTTCTCCAGTTATATTTATTGTGATTACTGATATATTTGGATTTATTTCACCACCCTATTCTGTACTTTCTTTTTGCCTCAGCTTTTCTTTTATTCTTTTTTCCCCCTCTCTTCTTTCGGATTGCTGTCATGTGTACATGCAAAGTGAAGCATAAGAAATGTATATATATTTAGAATAAACTTGAAAGTTAATTTTTGTGGCCAATTCAATAAAGGAGGTGAAGATGAAAGTAGTGGTTCGCAAACTTGGACTTTACAGACTAGTAAAAATTTCCTCCAAATGTTGGTGACCAATGTAAGGTTGCCAACTTTTTATTTTGCCAAGTCAGGAAATTAACAAAACAACTACAGATACATCAACTATCATCTATCCTTATCATAATTTTATAAATGAAAGGACATTTAAAAACAACATTTTAGACTGGAAAAAAACAATCCCAGCTTAGAGGCCATGTGGTACTTACCTGAGACACACACACACATAATATATACACACACATTTATAACAATGCATATATATATATATATATTTGTGTGTATTCTCATTTCATAGGAAATCACTGAAATCTCTGATCTGCACCTAGACTGGAACCCACTAATTAGAGGATGGTGGTGTAGAAGGAAGAAGGAGGTTCTACGTGGAGTTTCCAGGGGCGCCTTGGGATTTGGACAACAGAAAATGTCTGCTTGTATGTGCCCTAGTGCAGCAAAGAACCAATGTGGTAGATGGGTTGGGTACGCCTGGGGCGGAGGTGTTACTCGGAAGCCTGCGGCTGTTGAATGGCCCAAGAACAAAGAAAGGAGCTTTTCTTCAAGCTGGAGAGTAGAGAGAACCTTACTAGGCTCAGCACTGACCAGGATTCCTAGGTTGATAATGTTGGATAAGAGGTCTCTACGCTTATATATTTAGATCTGGATTACGTCAGTGTGAAAGTCCTTGAATTACAAGCATTTATAAACTCTGTGTTCTGTCTGGGTGCTTAATATGCTAGTAGAACCTTTCAAAACAACTGGAGTTGAAGATTAATTTTGTTACATTAGGCTCTCTTACTTAGATATGACATTTTGCCAGACATGATTGGATATATGATGAGGTATTTTAAAATTTCACCGTAATAAGCTTACTATAAGTTAACACTCGCGCATGTATACATAATTAATGCATAAATTGCCCAAATCAGCAAATAAATTTAATATACTTTCCGGAGCAAAAGCAAGTGAACTCCTGAGCCCACAGACAGCATTCATTTTGGGTTCCCCAAAGACCCTCCATTCATTCATCGTCAATGGCTTCAATTTTCTTAGCTTCTTCCAGGTCGAAACTGAGTCTGTTCTCGGATCTAAGCAGGTGCAGGCGCGGGAAAAAGATCTGCTTCTTTAGGGGCTACTGGCGGTGCCCCGGTGCGCTGGAAGGTGATGGCTCCACTGTTTCCACGTGGTTCTTTTGGAGACGGAGAACACTAGAAGTTTATTCTTCAGTGAACTAACTTGGCAGCAAGGGACGTGGTTGTCTGTCTCTGTGGCGCAATCGGTTAGCGCGTTCGGCTGTTAACCGAAAGGTTGGTGGTTCAAGCCCACCCAGAGACGGAAATAATACCCGCTTTTGGACCTTAGGATAAGCTTACACAGGAAGCAAAGAACCTCCACCCTTCAGCTTTCTCAATTACTTACTTAGCTTGCGTGTGAAGCCAATGTCCTTCTCAAGTCCCCACTTATCTTGCCTCAGCTGTTTTGCTAGCAATTTCGAAAGAGCTGAGCCTTCTGTGTTTTGCTAGCAGTTTCGAAACAGTTGGTTTAAGTGATTAGGGTTGCAATTAGTAGCACAATTTTTACTTGCTCAAGTAAGGTTCTACTAAATTGCTTCATGAAACTGATGTTTTAAAAATATTTACCAACCAAAGCAGGTAAGTACTCATAATCCAAACATAAATCTTTCTCCAAACCTATGTCTGCCTTGCTTTTGTACTTGTATTTCCTACCTTGTGAAATGGGTGTTTCCAGGATCTGGGCCCGTAATCATGCTACTTTCTGCTATTTACCAAGTTTTGGAGACCCTGTTTTCTAAATATTTGAATATCCACCTTCCTCTCCAGCTTGCTGACATTTACTTACTCATTACCTACGCCTTGAGTTCCTGCATTAACTACCTAGCAGCCTAGGCAATTTCCTGTCTTCAACTGTCCTCTCCCTTCCATCCTCCAAGTAGCTGCCAGAGAGGCTTTCTGAAATGCAAACCTGTTCTGCTTAGGATCCTTTAATGACTTGCAGGGTCACTACAAACCCCTTAGCTTGGAAGGCAATGCCTTTCATGATCTGGCTCCTGAGCACTCTTCTGTCCTTCACTTTCTCTTTAGACTGGAACAGAACCAAACTACTTTTCTGAATCCCTACTTTGGCTTTTCAATCTTTGCCCATGGGCCTTCAGCGTTTCTCCTTTTTGCCTGGCAAACTCCTAGACATTCATCACCACAACACCAAAAATTAAGGCTCTTTTTCTGCAGCCCTTTCTTCATTCTCTACTTATTTATGTTTTTTTTTTTTAATTACTAGAATAAAACTTCCTCCAGGGAGTAAGCCTGTGTTGTTCATCTTGATATCTTCAGCACCTAAACTCAAGCTCGGCACATTGTAAGTACTAAATATGAGTCGAATGTTCAATGTTTCCAAATGCCCTTGTCTCATGTCAGAACCTCATCTAATGTTCACATACCAAGCTTGAATTATCTTGGCATAAAGCTCATAGTTGACACAATTAGGCTGACCCTAAACCTCTGCCCAGGCCCTATCTCCTTCCTACCTGTGCCTTCTCTTACCCGCTCCATGCTCTAAAACTACTTCTAATTCCCATTCACCCTCCTATAAAAGTTCCCCTTTGCCCAGTTGTCCCAGCAAAATTTGATAATTCAGCAAGCTAATTCATATGAATTGTGGTGAGATGATTGTGGAGCGGGTAGGGTGAGGTTTCATGAACCCAAACTAATCCCTGACAGAATTTTGGACAGACAATGGGAGGGAAAAAGGATATAATTCATGTTTTATTATCATGACTTTTCCATATTCTCCCTAAGAGTAGCATGCAGGGTCTTGTAAAATGCTTTACTGGAATCAAGAAATGTTCTGTTGAAATGTTCTGCTTCTTCTAAAACAGAGAGATAGCTAAAGCTTTCTTGCATGAACAGTGATTGCCTTCTCCACCTCCACTCCCTTGTTACTGACATGCTGATGGATTTCGAAGATTCATAATTTAACTCAGTAGAGGTTGGTATATTTAATATTGGTTATCCAACATTTGTTTAACAGATGATGTGAACAAAGCTACATCTGAATTAGATACTGAAACGGAAAAGTTGGTTTTATAGTTCCTGCCCCTACTTTCTCTAGTTCTCACTATTGTGGCCAAGAAATGCATCCTCAGCTCCTTCCCATTTCTTCCTGTTCAGTTGTGACTGACTTTTTTATGCTTTCTCAGTTTGGACGCTGAAATGGCTCTCTTCACTGAGCTTAATCTGGGACAGTAATGTTATTCTCCTTCCTAAGGGTTTATTCTGTGCTTTCTTTTCTAAATCTCCGACTCCTATCCCGCTTCCTAGGACCATTCCTACTCATGACATTAAGAGGGTTTATCATTATATACTTGCAGATCATCCCAATTCTGACAGGGGCTCCCCTGAAAAACTCACTTCTGCATCACCTCTGTGATTTTCTCTTACCTTCACCATGGCTCATGTTCTAGGAATTCAACCCAGATGAGAGTCTCCTCTGGTCTGTCCGGGACTACCCTGGACTTTCTCAGCCACCTCCTTCATTGGTTCTTTTTTATTATGATTATTATCGAAGTATAATCTCCTTCATTGGTTCTGCTGTCTCCTCAGATCCCCAGCAGTACTCACAGTCTGTCTAGAAGGAGTTTTAGAGGGCCTTGAAGGCAACCAACCCTGCAGCAACAGGTGCAGATCACTATCCAGCTGGGTCTCAACCATTAATTCTCTTATCTGCTTATCCATTTATTTAAGAACAATATTTGTATATCAAGGGTTACTTTCAAGTGTCTGTCTTTTATTCCTTTACTGTGATGGAATCGTTGGGATAGAGAAAATATCCATGTAGCCCTGAGACTTCTATTCCTGGTAATGCAGCTACTTACTGGGGTTTCACTGCTGGCACTTAAAGATCACAGCACTTCCTTTCTATAGGAGATAAAGAGAAAACAGAATTGGGTAAAGGACCCTCAGCCTAGACTCTGATGTGTCGTTTTCCTGCTGCTCCCAGAGATACCTTTTGGGAATGATGGTGCTACATAATTTGGAACGAGGTTTAGAGTTGCTGCTTTTATTTCTCTCATTTGTCCTGAGAACCTTGGCTCCATGTGACTTTGGCACCCCTCCAGTCCTTCTTTGAGCTTCGAAGGTCTCTCTGCACAGAGAAATACAGCCCTGTATCCACCGCAAACAGGAGTCCCAACAACAGGCAGAGAGCGATTTGGTGCCAAGTTGGAAAGAATGGTGGATTTTCTAGACCTAATAGGAGAAGCAGAGGGACAAGAAAAAATGACATTTGTTAAGGCAGAAATTAGAAACGAAGGCTGAAATAGCCGAGGTCATGAGTAGGAAGTCTCTCTGACACCTGCTAAGAGACAGTTCTAAAGAATGGTCAGGGAGTCTGGCGGAAATTCATTGCTTCCTCCCACTGGATCTGAGTGCTACCTGAAGTGTTTTCATGTTTGATAGAGGTATGTGACAGGGAGTGCTAAGCAAATTAGGTTGTAGCTGGGTTTTGTGTGAAATTGTGAAAGTTGTCAAAGTTTAAGTTGGAGTGAGAACACTGTTTCTTAATTCAGTAACTCTCTTGTGTCTCAAAATTAAACTCGTAATTTTCATCCCATTAAAAAAAATCTAAAAAACAAAGTGAACCATTGGATTTTGCTGCTTATCGGCAGAAAATTAATAATATTTCTTTATTGAGGCTCAGTAACTAATAACCCAAAATCGAAAGAGGTATAATTTGTTTGTTTGCAATCTCTTAGCCCTTAATATTCTTATTTTAAAGTCATTCCTTGCTGTTGTCTATAAACTGGTAACATTAAAGTGGATTTTTAGTTTAAATTTTTTAACTCTTTTTTTAAACATTTTTTATTGAGTTATAGTCATTTTACAATGTTGTGTAAATTTTTTTGTCTTAATTTTGATTTCATCTCAAGCTTAAAAAAAGTTACCAGTAAAGTATAAATAACTCTCATATATTCTTTACCTAGATTTACTAACTGCTTGCATTTTGCCCCCATTTGCTTCATTATTTGCTCTCTCTTTCCCTAACTATTTGAGAGTAATTACTTTTGATTTAAATTTTGATGAAGTTATTTTGTATACAAATTGTGGCATTGTTTTGTTAAAATCTCTAAAGATGTGCATCTATCTTGCTGTCTTACTACATGTAAATTGCTTACAGTGTGCGTATTAGTCTGATTACAGGTGGAAGTTTTGTGAAATTAGGAAGTCCGGGAGCACTGCGGTAGAGGATCTCTGACCCTGGAGGATGGCACTGCATAAACTGGAGGTATTTTTCAAGTGACTTAACAGGGCTCAAAATCCTGTCATAGAACATTGGTACCTGTACAATCCTTTCATTTTGGTTAAATATATAGGCTTTGAATCTTTTGTGTGACCTTAGAGACAAATTAATTACCTTCCTTTTTTCCCACCTCAGTTATTTCATCTGTAAAATAGAGTCACTATTACATATCTCATAATGTTGTGAGGGGTTACTATGATCACCAAACTAGATGCATATAAAGAAGCATTTAGCACAATATCCAGCACACTGAAAGATGCCGAATAAATGTCAACTTGTCTTTGTTACGGAAGAGGAAATTGAGCTTCAGAGAGACTAAGTGGCTACAGTCACACAGTTAATTAGTAGCAGAGTCAGAACTCAAGTTCTGGGCTCTTTCTGGAAAAAGGGAGGGGTTACTGCCAGCTTGGCTCTTGATTAAGCCTTGAGGCTTGGAGGGGAAAGGAAGGTAGGTAAAGATGGGCCAGCGTGAGGGAGACACATAACATTGTGGGCATGGTTTGAATGAGGTAGGTAAGGACAGATGTATTTATGAGAGAGAAAATGTGGGTTTTGCTCCTGCTGTCACATTGCAGAGTGAATAACATCTCTGAGTCCCACGTAAAGAAGTCTGGAATAGTCAGCAATCTCCTCCCAACTCATCTTCCCAATATGAATGCAGACTACCCACACAGGGGGCTCTCGGCCCTCTAGGATTGCACATCTCTTACCTTTAACAGTGATGTCCACAGCCTTTGAGGACTCGTTTTTATTCCCGATAAGCCCCCTGCAGAAGTAGGAGCCACTGTGTTCGAGTGTTGCTTTTGAAATGTTGAAGTAAGAATTCCAATGATAAAACATCTGCCCTCTGCCATTCCGGAAATATTGGACCTTGTGTACAGGACGGTTCTTCCAGCTGTGGCATCTCAGCCAAATGGGCTCCCCCTCCTTGACCACCCTCTGAGGGGCTTGGAGCAACAGCCAGTCTGAAAGACACAGGAGGCCTCAGTAATCAGTGCAAAGCTCTTATGAAGGGGACGTTCACCACCCAAATCCTAGGGCAAAATGGGAATCTGGACTGGGAGCCATCCTTACATAACTTTCTTTGGGAAAAAGCCAACTGCGCCCTGCAAGAGAACTCAAGTCACACCAAGAACTTTTTTCTAATGAGGGAGAGGAACAGAAACACACAAGATTAAAACATAAGATTAGAGCAGAGGAGCAAAGTGACAAGGCAGGCGAGAAGCAATCTGCAGGGTTCTTAAATGCTACACTTGGCTTTGCTATGACAGGTATTAAGGAGCCACTGTAAGCTCTCCAACAAAGAATAAAAATTGTATTAGAAAATGATTTGTCCAATTAAAGGAAAGGTAGACTTCAGAAGGAAGAGACAGTTGTAGGAATGTTGGCAGACTCTTGTGCCAGTCAGAAAGAAGGTCACTGAGTGGTCACAGGAGTGGCTGCAGAAATAGTGAAGGAAAACTCAATATAAAAGTCAGGGAAGAGAAAGAAAGGCATGCTTGGTATTGCTCATGGTAATTGGTGGTTTCTGAAGGGCCACAGTGTCTCAGTGAGGCCATCTTCATTACTAAGCAAGCTTTTAAGACAGAAAATTTTGTATCACCAAGAAACTTGGTCTCACAACTGCCTCGCCAAGTAACCAGACTCCACATCCGCAGAGAGAACTTGAAGTCATGGTCAGGAAGTTGACTTGAATAATTAAAAATCATATTGCAGAGAAAATTGAAAATGACATGAGGAAACATTCATGAGATAATGTTAAGTTAAAAAGACAGAATAAAAAATATACATGCACAGAAAAAAAGAAAGAACATGCACTTAAATAGTAACAGGTTTACATATGTAATCATATATGTATATATAATCTAGTGGCTTTTGGAGGAACATTCTTATTCCAGTCCAGTTATCATGGACTCAGTGAATGTCCATATGTACATTCATTCAACAAATACTTTATTGAGCACACCCTCACAGTTTGTAAAGACTGGGGATACCCAGATGACTGAGACACATGATCCCCTATATCAAAGAACCCGTGGTCTAGACGTAGAAACACACATACTCAGAAATAATTACAATACAATGTCTTAAGTGCTACAACAGGCTAGGAACAAAGGACTGCAGGGCCAAAGAGAATGGAACAAAGAAATTTTGCCCAAAGAAGGTAAGGAAGGCTTCTCAGAGAAGGAGATAAGTGAAATGGGTCCTAAAGGATGATCAGGAGTTTGCCTGGTGAAATGAGTGGTCTTGGTGACAGTTTGATACAGTTCTCACTGATTAGACTTTGAAAACCATTTTCTAAAGACAAGTTTAAGACAAACTAGTAACTCTCTGACTTGATTTTTCTATTGCTTCCTGTTGGAAATTCCTCATTTTATGTGGTCATAGGTAGCCATCTCTTACCTAGCATATTAGGCATTCTTCTTATAGCTCTGTAGAGTGAGAACGCTGACAGCTAAGTGACACAGTCAGGCAAAGGGGCCACAAAAGTAGCTTTGGAGGCCTAATTCCATGGAACTCTGCTGTAAGTCCATCTTCATTAGGCCCTCCTTCCCCTCCAAGATTTTTCCACTCACATACATTGTACAGATGGGGCAGCCATGGAGGTAGTCAGGCTTACAAGGTGACACTGCAGGTACCAGGCTATGTGGTGTGATTCCAGGGACACCAGGAGAGATGTCTGCCTCCAAAATACTACCACTACTTGCATCTGATGCCTAGATTATGTTAATACCCAAAGACTTTCATTTCATGATGGACGTGCAGGCTGAACATGTATCTATCTCTATTAGGACACATGGGACATTGGCAAATTTATTCCAAAGTGTGAAGTTGCCTGGGGCATTGATGGGGGAAGAGAGATAGATATGATACAAGATTAGGGATGGCTTGGGGGATAGCTTCAGGCATTGTGTGTCTGAAAGTGAGGAGATCGATGTCCTAAAAATGGATTCATTAATTTATTCAATAATTATTATTGAGCATCAGTGTCATGCCCTGACCTTCAGATGACATCATTCATATTGTATATATTCTGTGTGATTGTTGATTCCTGGAACTGTGCAGTGCAGCAGCCCTGGATCTAGTTAGTGTATGCCAGGCTTTGACAATTTTACCTGAGACCTACTTGTAACTAGGACTACAATTCTGATATCATTTATTGGGACCACAGATCATCTCATCTTAGTTTTAAACCCCAGGAATATTAACCTCTGGCTCTTCCCAAGTCTTTCAAGGTCTTTTGTTTTACCCATTATTGATAACTTCCCTCTTCGCCTTCACCTACTCACCTACGTGGACTTCCAGGTGCACTGGGTCACTGAGTGCGGAGAGGCTTGTCTGACACTTGTATTCTCCACTGTCTTCAACGTTAGCTTCTATGGTGAAGCTGGAGGCCTGGTTTGAGATGAAGCTCCCGTTGTGCCACCACTTTGTGGAACTGTCTCCAAGAGCGTAGTCCCCCAGACACTTCAGAGTCACAGTGTCATCCTTGAGTACCTGGTCCCACTGAGGATCTAGGAGCACCACAGCCTTTGGGAGATCTGCTGAGGAGTCAAGAGAATGTAGAGAAGGGCAGGGGAATGATCTGGTCCCACACTGGCATTCCCAGGGAGGCTCAAAGCCCATCGCAAACCCAGGGTTGGCAACTCTGCCTTAGTATGGGACTCTGTCTGAGCATCTTGGCTTGAAGACACTTGGCTCCATTCTTGGCCTCTCTTTATCTTGAGGAAAATTGACCAGAAGAGCATAAGGTCAAGCCCCATTGTGTTGAGGGAAGCATCCCTGCCAACCCCACATCAGCCGTTTTCCATGCAATAAACATTCCCGAACACCCTGTGGCTATTACGCATTTATGTGCCTCCTTTGATCAGTCTAAAACCATAATGCAAACTCACCAGCTTGAGTGCCAGCTGAAACTGTAAGAAAAAAGAGTGAAACAAATATTGAGTAGAAGCAGAGATCAAGGTGACTGGAGTGTGGACTGAGATTAAACTCCCCTGCCTACCTCTGCCCTGGGAGGCTAGTATTCCTAAGAATCAAGATAAATGTAGTGAATTGTTCTCCCCTTGCCTGCTCTCTGGTCTGCAATGTCTGGGCCTCCTACTCCATGGTCCCCCCAACTCCCTGTTTTCAACACCATTCTCTTACTCCTTGGTCCCTGTTCAAACTCCCAAATTAAAGGTACAGATTGAATATCCCTGAATCAAGTCATAGACACAACCTCAACCCAACTCCCCTGGAAAAGGAAGAAATTAAAAGTCTTAGAGAGGAGCACTGGAATGTCAGAATGGGAAAGACAGACCTTAAGGACCATCTAGTCCATAGTCTTCAATTTATGATGAAACTGAGACCTCATGTTCCCCTTCACCTCCTGATTATGCTCTCAAATCAGAGCCAGCATTCTCCACATCTCTAACCCCCATAGCTTTGTCCTAGGAGCTAAATCTAAGTCTACAGATGTGGTGAGGGGCCCTATTCCTTGGTAGGAGACCCACCCCTGCCCTGAAAAGGGATCTCTGCTGAACCCAGGGCATCTTGAGCTTCTCTCCCAGCCAGGGTGAATCTGACTTACCCAGAAGCAGCAGAGCTGTTGATAGTAGCAGCTGCCACATGCTGTGTGTTAGAGCAGACAAGTCACCACTGATATCCGGAGCCCTACAGGGACCTAGCTGACTTGAAGAGAGGAAGTAACAGCCTTTATCCCAACCCCTCAGCCCATTACTTCATCGGTTTCCCTTTCCGGGAACATCATCTGACTCTAGAATCTGAACTCTGCCGTATGAGCCCTCACTTCTCAGGTGGATCCACCCAGTGCCACGACCAAGACAACATGACCCTGGGAATGAGACTTGCAAGGGAGAGCATTCCCCAGGGGGTCTTTTGTTCTACCTCAGAACTTCTCACTCTCCTGCTTGGCCCAGACCCAGCTCCCTCCAGCCAGGGCTTGTCTACAGAAAGTAGTCATTTAAATCTTTAGACCATTAGATGTGTCACTCACCCCAGTATTATCTCCACCAACATTTTCTTTCAAAATTCAAAATGCATAGGATCTATAATCCACAGGAGCTACTAACTTCTTAGTGTGAATTTGATCATGAGATTTGCATCCCCTGCTGAAAGAAACACAAGTAGTGGTAGGCAGGTGGGCTCTGGGAGGAAGAGATACCATCGAAAAGTTGGAAGGAACACAAAAAGGGTAGGGGAAGGAAGAGGGCAAGGTGAGGAAAGGATGGAAGAACTTCACCTTCACCCCAGTGTTACCAAGACTGTGCTGGGCCACAGTAGTTCAGGTTAGCTTGGGCCCCTTAGGGACCCCCTGGGCCCAAGCTGGTCTGTGAGCCTTGCAGTCTGGGTTCCAGGACTCCTTAGCAGAAGAGATGGAGGTGCAGGGTCAGGAAGTGGTAAGACTGCTAACCTCTTCTCCTTTTTCTAAATACCTCCTGACAGTACATACACACCCATTCCCTCCCCCTGCCCTTTGTTTGCTCTTACATCAGCCCAGGTCTTAGAAAATCACATACTTAAATTTTTTTTTTTTAATTTTAGGAGTAGATAATTAAGCTTACTTATTTATTTCTAGAGGAAGTACTGGGGATTGAACCCAGGACCTCGTGTATGCTAAACATGTGCTCTACCACTTGAATTATACTCTCCCCTACTACAGACAGAAATCAAATGGCAGTGCTTGGCCATGTTACTCCCACAGCAGGTTCCTAGACATCTGGGACAACTCTCACTTGGAAAAGCCTTGGAAACGCCCAGGAGACGAACAGCAGACAGATGTGGCCAAGTGATATTTGGAGGCAGAGGCTGACACACTGCTTTGGATCGATTCCCTTTTCCTTTCCAGAGTCATATAAAAACCACTTCAATTCGAAAAAACAAGTTTCGATTTTTGTTTTGTTTTGCTCCTGTGTAGAGTTCATCAAATCTTCCCCCATTCCCATCCTCCCCACCCTCCATCAGCTGTTCCTGCAGCAGCCCCTCCCCGACAGGCCCTTGGAACAGATGTCTGATTAGAAAGCACAATGGAAACCAACCAAGCAGCCATTCTAGTGTTTCATCTCAAGTGATTTATTTACATCTTGCAAAATCCAGAATAGTATCCGAAAACTTCAGGCTCCAGCCTGTAGCACTTCAGTTTATCTGGGAAAACGGAAGCAGAAAGAGTGCCTTCAGGGCTTTCTGTGGCTTCTGGGGTGAAAGGTGGCTGTCCCTCGGCCCTCTCTGTTGTTCATTATTACCAAAGTGATTTCTGCCATATAATGTGGTGCAAGGCATTCACTTTAGCTTTCCTTCTTTGAGGTTTTATTTCCTTCTGGACGCATCTTCCGTCTGTGGACTTCAGATGGAGGGAGGAATTGTCGACTGCAGAGAGGACAGGATAGACAAATAGAAGAGGAAGGGAGAACACTGGAGGATCGCAAAAGAGTGGGAAACATTCTGCAGGTTTTCATGAAGCACTTATTGAATCATCCTCAAATTGAGTATTGTTGGGGTGATAAGGGTTAATTTTACAGAGATAGTAAATGGAAATTTTTTAAAGAAAATGGGCTTGGTGTATCTTGTACTGGAGTGTTTGCCTTCATGCTTGGTTTTTTTTTTCTTTTTCCCTTCATTCTTTTCTTTACTCCCTCCTTTCTTCTCTTCCCTCATGTTGAAATGACAGCCACAGCATGAGGTTCTGAGATTACAGAGGTTGATCAGTTGATCAGTTACCATCCCCTGGGATTTATAGTTTCTTAGAGGGAGACTACCCGATAAGCATGTGAAGTGCTAAAGGGACTATGAGAGAATTTGTGAAAATCTGTGTGTGCACAAAGAAGGCAGTGGCTATATTTATCTGGGGGAGGAGTCCACGTGGAAGAGAGAACACTTTAATTGGATCACAAGAGATAATTGTGTGTTCAGCAGGAAGGTTTTGGGAAGAAATAGACATTTCAGGGAAAAGGAGCAGCCTGAGCAAAGACTTGGCGTGAAACAGGCTGGCATGTTTGCAGAGCTGGATATAGCACCACAAGATTCCAGAAGACTACAAAGGAGAAGCACAAGCTCCTAAAGGGTCAAGAGGGCTGGATTTCAGATGAGTCTGGTACGGAATCTGAACTTTAGTACTTACTTAACCTGTCTAGGTCTCAGTTTCCCTATCTGTAAAATAGGACTAACAAAAATGGTACTAACTCCAAGGAGTTCTTGTGAGGCTTAAATGAAATAATGCATATGAAGTTGTTGATTCCATATCTGGAACCACACCTGCTGATGACTATTAGAAGTGCAATAAATAGAAGTGAGGGTGTCCCTGGTTTTCTGACTTAAGTTTTGACACTCCCATCTCCTGTACTCCTTTAGGAGCTTGTGTTTCTCTTTTGTAGTACTCCTCATATTTATGGACTTTTAGGTCTTTGAGGTCAGGGAATCTGTTCCTCTTGTTCATCACTGTATCACCAGTATTTAGCACAGTGCCTGGAAAGGACTAGGCACTCAATATTTATCAGGTGATCACGAAGGACTCTGTATATCATGGTGAACAGTTTGTGCTTTCTTGAACTGCTATCAGGGTAATTTTTGCAAAATGTAAAATGATCATCAAGTTTTTAAGCTGTGGAATGGCATAGTCCAAGAAATAAGTTGGAGGAGAGAGAGATTGAAGGTGGAGGGAAAATTTGGGAAGTTATTTTAACAGTCTAGCTGAGAGATAGGAGATTATCTATTAAAGAAGTGAAAATGCAATGGAAACAGTTAGGAGAGATGTTAAGAAGGTAAAATGGACAGTATTTGGATGAGTGATTGGCTATGAGAAGTGATGGAGTAGGGGGGTAGGTAATGCTCAACTTTCTGATTTGGGTGGTCAGGAGAATGGTGACATATTTTATGGATGTCAGAAATAAAAACGAACAGGCTTTCAGAGAGGGAGATAATGATCTCAGCTTTGACATTATTGAGTTGGAGGTTGGTGGTGATTTTAGGTGGTGATGCCAAGTAGGCAGTTGGACATATGGCTCTGGAACTCAGAAGATAGTTCTGGATGAAACAAAATTTAGAAAGCACCAACATGGTTGATGTTTTAAACTTTTGATAAAAGCTTTAGGCCCTCCCCAAAAGAAAATGCAAATATACACACCATTTTCCTTGCAATTTAAGAAACTCCATGTGAAACCCATCCAGAGATCCTAGGTTAAGATGAAGTACGAATAAGATCTCTCTGACTATAAGCATATTGAGTGAGAAAAAGGGGAACAGTGAAGGAAAGGAAAGAGAGGAATGTCGGGGGAAGAGGAGAGGATCAGTGACAGAAACTTAGCACTCAGCAATTTTGACAGTGTATAAAGGAAGAATACCTGACAAAGGAGATTGGGTAGGGGAGGCTAAGGAAGAGAGGAAAACAGGGCAGCTTAAGGAGGACTGATCTTTAAGGAGGGAGAAGTCAATGGTATAAAATGCTGAAGAAAATTCCAAGGAAGTTCTTTCAATGTGGCGATCTAGTACCTATTCATGACCTTTGTCATTTCAAGGGCTGGGGTTGAAGAACAGAAGCTTGATAACTTTTGGTTGAAGATTGAATAGAAATGAAAAAGTGTTTTAATGAATTGAAGAATCTCCACTATAGAAGCATGTTGTCCTGGCTGTTCAGGATCCAGTTCCCTCCCACTTCTTATTCACATCTCATTCTCCCTCGGGGAAGCCCCAGTGTGAGGAGTCTTAGCACAAAGTGGTGATTGCTTTTTACTACAGAAACAAGGGGTCCAGATTTTCCTTTTCCCCACCTTGGCCTGGTGTTACGGGCCACATTGTGCCTCCCCCAAATGTATACGTTGAAGTGCTAACACCCAGTACCTCAAAATGTGACCAGATTTGGAGACAGGGCCTTTAAAGGAGTTATTAAGTTAAAATGAGGTGGACTGGGAATACTTCTAAAAAGAGATTAGCACACAGAAATGTGTAGATGGAAAACCATGTGAAGACACAAGGAGAAGATGGCTGTCTCTAAGCCAAGGAGAGTAGTCTCAGAAAACAAAAACACAAAAAACCCCCAACCCTGATGACACCTTGATCTCTGACTTCTAGCTTGCAGAACTGTGGGAAAATAAATTTCTGTGGTTTAAGCTCCTCAGTCTGTGGTGCTTTGTTATGGCAACCTGAACTGATTAATACAGAAAGTCAAAGAGCAGGCGTGTGACCTAGCCTTGGCCAATTTGTATTTTCTGGGATGTCAAATTCTGAATAAGTAACATGTATTCATTTATAAGGGAGAGGGATGGTTAAATCCCAGTTACCACAGCAGTGGGATAAGCTGACCTGCCTCCAATTTCCATCTAATAAATATTTTTCTTTTACTGAAAATTTTACTCTTTTTAAACTTTACTTTTTTTTAAAACTTTACTTTTTAAAAAAAATTTAGATTCTGATACAGTTGCTTATAATCAAGAGCCCTGAGTGATACAGTAAGAAATGAGAATCAGAAGATGGTAAGTAGAGGGGATCAAGGAAAGAAAGGGAGATTTTGTTTTGTTTTGTTTCTTTTTTATTTTATTTTATTTTATTTAGTTTTTAATTTTTTAAATTTTTTTTTATTGAGTTATAGTCATTTTCTAATGTCGTGTCCAATTCCAGTGTAGAGCACAATTTTTTAGTTATACACACATATATTCATTGTCACGTTCTTTTTTGCCGTGAGCCACCACAAGATCTTGTATGTATTTCCCTGTGCTATACAGTATAATCTTGTTTATCTATTCTACATTTTGAAATCCCAGTGTGTCCCTTCCCACCCCCCACCCTCTTGGCAACCACAAGTTTGTATTCTATGTCTATGAGTCTGTTTCTGTTTTGTATTTATGTTTTTTTTAAATTAGATTCCACATATGAGCCATCTCATATGGTATTTTTAGATTTTGTTTTGTTTTAAGTGAAAGATTTGAACTTGCTCACAGGTCTTTGGGAAGACGTCAGTAGAATGGGAGAAGCTGGATTCATGACAAGAAGGGAAAACCTGATGAAGCAAGTGTAGATCTTCAAGACATGGGAATAAAACATGGGTGGAGACTTGGTTCTGAACTGGTTATGCAACATCTCTCCCTCTGAGCTATAAGGAGGTGGTGAGGAATATGTATATGCAAATCAGTTTTCAGATATTGAGTAAGAATGTTGAAGTACTTTATATCTGATTGCCCTGATTTCCTGGGTCAGGAGTCAGTCATTTACTGAAAAAAGAGGAGGTGAAGGTGATAGTAGGAGACTTAAGGGTACCAGAGGAGGTTTAGAATGGTCATTATGGTGAATAGGAGAAGGAGAAGGAGCTGACAGTTTACATGTAAAAGGATTGCCAAGCAATGCCAAGGGCCCAGCAGGGGTTGAAGGTTATGGATTTGTGGCCAGGCCAGTTCTCAGTGTTGGTAACTTTTCTTCAGCAGTGGTCAGGCCATCTACTCTCTGACTAGCTTGCTGAGTGCAGTCCTGAGCAGGAGCTCAGCTGGTTATGTGTTATGGGAAGGATACTGTTTGAGGAGGAAGGAAATTCAGGTTTTGGTTTCAGTTTGACAGAGACTAGCTGTCTAGCCACTTCTCTTTTCTAAACCTCTGTTTCCTCGTCTGTAAGTGAGGTAATTGAGCCAGATTTTGTCTAGTTCTTTCCATCTTAAATATTCTATAGTTTTGAATGCTGGCTCCCATCTGTAATTTCTAGACATTGCGGAAAGTAGTAAACTTTGTCTTCTAAAAAATCCTAATAAAGGCCATTGGACTATTTTGGAGACCCCAAAGAATTTTCTAACAGAGCTAGCAAATTAATAGTTCTAATTAAAAGTTAATT